GAACCAAGATAAAGGGACTCAATTTACCCTTCAATTTTCCAGACATCTTTTCTAAAGACATGTAGTATTTTATACCACATTAGAGGAAACAGAACATTCTCACATGGCTAGTTCCTTCATTTCAAGACGGTTTGTATGTAAAATGTATTTTTCTTTGGAAGTGAAAAAGGTGCTATTGTCAAACTTGTTCTAAAAATCCCTGTTTATTTCCAGTTGGCGTATGTGAACATGAGCACCCTATCATTGGTAAACCCCTTCGCCATGACGGTACAGTGTATGCCCAGTTTGGGGGGCACAGGAAAGACATCCTTGCTCTGTCTATGTATTCTGTACATACGATTGACATCTTTGTTTTTGTGTTTCGAGGAGATTAAGGCTATCAGTGGGAGTCCCATTTACTGTTGTTGACATAGTCTCTAGAACGATATGCTCCCTTAATTAAATCATGATGATGGAAAAACATATGAGATACTGGGTCATCAGAAAAGTCATGATAGATTTTTGCACAGAAGAACCCATCATGACTTTTCTGATGACCCAATAGTTTACTTATTCTCGCCTTTAAATGTAATTTTAAAAAAAGTCTAGCCCCTATATTGGTCTTTTATTTTATTTTTTCTTTCCTTTTAGGTTTTTGCCATAGGGTGGTACACTCACTGGAGAGAGACAGAGAGAGAGAGAAAATGAGAAAGCATCCCCCGGGGAGATGGCCTAATCCTTTCTGCTCCATTTTCCTCTCAGGATTTTTGGGTGTGCATGCACATGTGCCCAGCATGATTTTCAAGCTGCCAACTCTAGGGCTAGAACTGTGGTTTGACCTTGTGGGAGTCCAATACCTTAAATCATCATGCCACCTGCTGGCCCTCCTATTAAAGGACGTCCTAAGGAGGTCCCAAGAATGCTTTCTATATATCTAAGTTATTTCTCTTGGTGAAACAGTCAAGGAATTAAAGGGAGAAACGGCTAAATTTCTGGCCTGGAAAATAATTTGCATCTGGGTTTTTTGTGATTGTAGTTTGTGGAATTGGGGTCAATAATTTCTGGATCTAACTATCACTCTACAGAGACCACATATTTGAGAATATGGTTTGTGTGCCTGATAATCTTTTAAGGCTCAGGTACTCTGCAGGTCTGTGTTTCTTAGAGATGGGACATGGAACACCTACATCCAAATCACCAGGAGTGCTTCTTAAAAATACAGATCAGCAGTTAGCATAATGACTATGTCTTTGGACTCCCATGTAGTCGACCACGGTTCGAGACCTGGACCCGGTGGCTTAAACTCATGCCAGGCGCGTGTGCGCGCGGGCCAAAGATCCCTAGAGGAGAATCGAGGAGAAGGGATTGCAGCATGGCCATCCCCCCTGGGGGGGGGGATTTCTCGCTTTCTGTCTCTCTGTCTCTGTCTTTCTGGCGAGCGCACACGCCCTATAGCAATAACCTCTCCAAAAAAAAAAAAAATTCAGATCACTGGGGCCAGCAGTTAGTGTGGTAGTTAAGGCAGCTGGATCCCACACTGCTGCCTGTAGTTTGAATACTGGATCTGGCAGCTCCAAAAACACACGAGATGTGTGTGAGTGCATGCCCAGAATCCTGAGAGAAGAATGGAGAAGGAACTGTGGCATGGTCATCTCCCCACCACCCCCTTACCCCTACACATGCACCCTGTGTAAAAACAAAACGATAACAAAATGCACCTCTCTAGGCCCCACCCAACATAGTGAATCTGAAACTCTGGGAATGGAACCAAGTTATTCCTCTTAAGTACCCCGGTTGATTTTTACCCACACGGAAGTTTGAGAAGTATTGCAATAGGCTTTGACCTACAACACATTTGAGTTATTGTGTGGGTAATAGTCTGGCAAATAAACCCTAATATAACTGGGCTTCTACTGTCATTGAGCTCCTTAAATCTTTGACTTATAAAACATCTGGGCGGGAGTTTAAAGATGCATGGGAATCTTGAAAAATAATATGTCGATTCAGGGTTGTTGGAAAAGTCATAAAGTATTTTTCTGCTTTTCTATGCAAAAAAACATCATGACTTTTCCCATAACCTAATAATAAACTAAAAGAAGCTTAGAACAAAAGATCTTATCTATACAGTAATTCAGGGCCAACTCAGTGAATGACAAAGCTATTCTCTTAATTTTCTCAAATTCTCTTGATAATTTAATGTTAAAAAAGCACAGCTGTTTCCCTTTGCTTTTTTTAATAAGTCAATTATGCCTGTTTTAATTATCCAATTTAACACACCCAACAATTAAGGCGTTCAGATCTAATAGCATCTCAACATACCTCAGATCCTATCTTCCCACTTTAAACGTCTGTAAACTGTAATTCCCGTGAAAATACAGTTATCCACTGATATTGGCAAAATACAATAGCCATTCTCAGACAATGCTTTTCAGATCTGGTCGAACATTAGAATCACTTGGAATAATGTAAAAACGTGACCTCTACCTGTAGCTCGCTATAAACCAACTAAATCATAATCTCTAGAGAGTGCGACACCTTTTCTTCAATTCTCCAGGTGATTTTACTGTGAAGTCAGGGCTGGGATCTTACTTCTCTAGGGTATTTCCCAAGTGCAATCTCTATTTCAATAAATGAAATTCAGTTAAGAACAATAACAGGGGACAGATTGCTTGAATCAATGTAATTCGTTTATTTCTAGTCTCCCATCTTTAACAGACCATGTTAGGAGACCAAGGGCAGTGTGCTAGGACAGGATAACAATGCCCTAACAGACATTCTTTTTTCCAAGGCTCCCTTCTTATAATGCCATGTATTTTATTAAGGGACATACCTAAGAACAGACCTGCATGTCTACCTGTCTACTCCACGGATATCGTCAATGACATGACCTGGTGCTACTTTTCAGAAGATATCTGAAAGCAAATTTTTCTGGTCTTATTATTATAAATGGCAAATGTTCGATAGACTCCTGAGTTATGCAACTAGTCAGTCTGTTTTGTTCTAAACAAGCTGCTGGAAAATTTGGAGTCAAATTTGTTCTCGATAAGTAGATACAGTAGAAATATCCCTGTCCCAATTTTCCATCTTTGTATTTGTTTCCCCTTTTTCTTTCTTGCCTCACTATGACTTATCACTTTGATCTTTTGTTAGCATTGACTGAGCCATTGGAAAACTGGGAACAAGATCAGGTGTATGAATCCTTTAAACAATGTAGCTAATGGAGCCAGGGTCACACGATGTTCCTCAAAAGATGGCTTTGGTCCAAGTTGACTAATTTCCTCAATGTAAGAAAACTTGAACAGCATCAAAGCCAATCTGTAAAACATGTGTCATGGGCACAGGATTAATTCTGTTGTTGAAATGAAAATACGTGAGATACACTGAACATGTGCACATGTATTAGAATGGCGTTGTGATTCTGTGTTTACCACTGATACTGTAAAAGCACAAAGGAACGGCCAGAGAGAGGGCAGGGCAACGTTTTCTTCATTTGACAATAAAGCTCGTAGGCCAGGCCCATGGCCTGATGGTATGTATGCTGGATCTCACATGGCTGACTTCGTGATTCTGGTTCTGGACTAGCAGCTTAAAAAATGTGGTAGGGGGGCTGGCAGGTGGTGTGGTGGTTGAGGCAGCTGGATTCCTACATGGCTGACTGCAGTTCAAGTCCTGGACCTGGCAGCTTGCTTTCTCACTTTCCTTCTCTCTCTCTCTCGTCAGCTTCAAAAAATAAAATAAAAAGGACAATGAATACAAGTAAATAAAATGATTCTTAAAAAAATGTAAGTCTTCAAACTTAAAAAAAAAAAAATGTGCTGGGACCAGCAGTTAGCGTAGTGAGTATGTCGCTGGACTCCCACGTAGTCAACCGCGGTTTGAGTCCCAGACCCCATGGCTTAAACTCACGCCAGGTGCGTGTGCGTGCGTGCCCCAGATCCCGAGAGGAGAATGGAGGAGAAGGGATTGCGGCGTGGCCATCTTCCTTGGGGGGGGATTTCTTGCTTTCTGTCTCTCTGTCTCTGTCTGTCTGGCGAGCGCATGCGCCCTACAGTGAAAATCTCTCCAACAAAAGAAAAAACAATGTGCTGTGTGTGTACCTGCCTAAAATCCAGAGAGGAGAGAGAGAGAGAGGAGAGGGGATTGTGGTGTGACCATGCTCCATGGGGAGGTGCTTTCTCTCTCTCTCTGTCTCTCTCTCTCTCCAGTGAGCAAATGTGCCATCTGGTAAATTAAAAATAAACAAATAATAAAGATTGTAGAAAAAAAAAACAGTGAAGTTCCTAGTGGGATGCTCAAATTAAGTTAAACAAAAAGGTGAGGTAAACAGAAAAGTGACAAAATCTTTGAGTCAGATCCTCTTTGGTATCAATTAGGAGGAGGGGAACAAATTACAGGTTAAGGGGCCAGCAGACGATGTTGTGGTAGTTGAGGTGCTAGACTCCCACATGGTCAACCACAGTTCAAGTCCTAGACCTGGTGGCTTGCTTTCTCACTTTCCCTTTGTTTCTCTCTCACGTGAGTGTACGTGCCCTGTAAAAAATAAAAAATAAGAATAACCATAAAATTAAATAATTATTTCAAAAAATCACATAGCCAGAAGACATTTATATACATATTCGTTTAAGAATTCTATTTGCAAGTTGTTTTGCAAATGTTTATTTATATATATGAACATAATATATATATGTGTGTGTGTGTGTGTGTGTGTGTGTTGGAAAGGTTTTGGAAAGTACCTTGCATTGTTTTTATAATTAGTCAGTTCTAATACTGCAACTACTAAGATGCCCAAAATGCAAATAGACTTTTTGAAAAAAGGATCATGGAGTTTGATCATTTTAAAATGGAAAATTACCAGGTTTTTACTAAATAGCACTCATGGATGATAAAAACAATCTGCAGTCATGGAGGAGATGAAAATTCCTATAGATACATGAGATTTGGGTGAAATTCTCTGGAAGGAAAACTATTAGTAATCTACACTGATGGGGATTTGCATATGTAATTTGAGACACAGGTTCCTCTTAGCTATGATCACCTTTTATTAAAGCATTTAACTTCTGATTGATATACAGGCAAAAACCCTCCTTGAATTTTAAAAGATATTCTGGTTTTTACATATGTATGTAAACTCTTAGGCTGGTTTTTAACTTAAATTGACTGCATAACAAAATATCTTCTAAATTTCATACAATATAACACATTTGTTTTGGTTGAAGACATTGAGTAAGTTGCACTCCACTTGTGGTTTGTGTAGTTATTACAAAAGTTGTATACAAAACCCTGCAAATATGCAAAAATTGCAAAATACACTCTGACAGCTAATGCTCTGAAAACACTTTATTACACAAATTACATTCAGATTCTGAAAATAGTGTTCTAACAGTGTAACCATCTAAAAATAAGACATCCCAGAAACACACCAACCAAAGAAGAAAATTGGAAAAAAAAAAAAAAAAAGAAACAATTTTAAATAGAGGCTTTTTTTCTTTCCCTCATTGCAATATAATGTTAGTGATTTTAAAAAAATAGGAGATTTAGCAGCTTTGCCTTCTTGTAGCACAAAGTTTCTCTTTACTGCCACAGGCTGAGAATGCTGAAGAGGAAAGGCACCAAAGAAAGCACTGCGATGGACGTGGGGCCGGGGAAGTGCTGTGATCAAGCAGAGAGCGGGGCTATTTATATCACAGGACAGTCTCAACGGCGCCACGAGCAAACCTTCCAGGAGGAGACTGGCCTAGGACGGAAGAGGACGACTGCTTCTTTTACGTTCATGGAAAGGCAACGGCACTGATAGGAACTTCTAGGAAACTCTGCAAGTAGAAACTGAAGCCAACTTAACCAAAACCAAGAAAAAAAGTGTGTATAGTCCCACATAGACTAGGACGGTTTACAATTAAATACACAAAACTTTAAACGTGCTAAAGGGAGAGGAATCTGGCATTCTTGGTAAATCTCACCCAACCTAAATCAAAGCCTGGTTTTTAAGAGGAAGAAGGTGCCGGCGTGGGCAGGGGTGCTGAATACTCCTCTTCTGATTCACTGCCATCGTCCTCATCTTTCTCGTGGTCACTTCCCTCTGTGCTAAGGCGGTCAAACCCTTTCCGACTGTAGCCCTTCCGGCTTGCGAAGAAATTTCCGAGGTTTAAACCTCTACTTCCCTTTCCTGAAGAAAACAAAGAGAACAGAACTGAGGTGAACACCACATGCTTCTCAGTTTCCTTGCAAATTTTTCAGTGGCAAACAAAGTCGGATGTGGGAGATGGGAAAGGGTGTATGTTAACACCAACCTGTGACAGGCGGGGAGAGACTTATCTTACAGAGATTCAGGTTCTACTCCCCAGACATAGGAAAACAAAGATGAAAAAGCAAAGCATCTCAGGATTATGTGTTTCTGCAAGAACATTTCAGATTCACATCTCACCCCTGCTTTTCCCCAGCTCTCCAGAACTGGCACCCCTCCAACACCGCTTCATTTCAATGACTTTATGAAAAGGTCATCTTCACTGTGACAAGCACTGACATACCCACAGGAGTGACAGAAAATTGAAGACAAATGAAGCCAGATAAAAAGCAGGGGAAGAGAATGTGATAATACGGACTGGCAAAGTGGAAAACTAAAGCTGGGAAGTGTGCTGCTAGAGCCACACACGTGGGTGAGCTCATGGCTGCTCCCTGCATGTACACCGGGGACTGCTGTGCAGCATACCAGGTGTTTCACTTTCAGGTACAAAACAGGACGCAGCTCCTTGCTCTGGAACAGATAGGAGCTTCTTGACTTTGAACCAAACACGAAGGATTCTAAAAGGTCACAGGCATACCTCTAAATCTTCCCAGAACTCTTCCAGAACTCGCCTCAAGTTTGTGTTCAGAATCTGCGGGTAAAAAAAAAAAGATGGCACGTCTCAAAATGAATCCCAGCACCCCTTTCTGAATACCTGGGCTCAACTTTCAACACAAAATCAGGAACTGAGAACTGAATGACAAGGTCTGGCGCTTGTCTGTATAAAATCCCACCAAAGAAAGGCAAAATATTATTGATATCATACACACACACATATCTGTATGGGCTTGAGCTAATTTCAGCTCCTGCCTGTCTCTCACGAGCTGTGCAGTCTTGATAAATAACGTCCCTGAGCCTCAGTTTTCTCCTCTGAGAAAAGAGAGTTCAACCTATATCCCGACGTGCTGTAAGGTTTAGACAGGACACTGCATGAGACACGCTTAGAAGTGTGTCTGGTACATCTATAGTAAATGCCCAGTAAATATTAGCTACCAATACTTTGTGAAAATTGGGAGCTTTGGTTATTATTGTAGGAATATTTATCTTAGAGTCCACCCTACCAAGGAACCCTGCTTCAGGCAGCTGGGGTCCACACACATCATTTCCCTTACGTAAGACTTAGTGAAGGCAAAGGACATGAAACCCTAGTGTTTTCCAAGCATACGAGGTGTCTCCAGCACTCAAAGCTCTCCTTGGGTCTGCCTGTCTACATGCAGGATGGATTCTCTTTCCTTAGGGGAGGCAGAACTCCCAATGCACCTTGTCTACTCTGTATCTCCCTGTGTATTTCCCCCTTGCTTCCACCACTCTCTCAAGGGCTATGGTGGGAAGCCAGGCTTGGGATTCTCCTGTTATGTCTCTATCCAGGACTAGAGGCAGCATCGCGGAGAAAGCTAACAGGCAGATGACCGAGGGAAGGTAGGAAAGTGAACGGGGAAAGAAATAGGCAAGAAATGAAGAAGAATCAGGTACAACAGTAAGAAAGCCCACCAGTTAGACTGTGAGTTCCACGAGAAGGTGGGCTATTTCTTGGATGTGTATCCCCTGTGCTAGCTAGCAGTGTCGAATGTGGAGCTGACACACGGGAATGCTGAATAAATGGTAGCTCTCCCATGACATGTCTGGACACCTTGGAATAGACCGGATAAAATTTCCCAAGAACAAATGTTGAAGAAAGATGAGAGGTTCATTTATTTTTAGAATGAACTGTATTAGGCTGAACTATATCGTAATTTGTCTAAATCAAACATGTGTGACATGGCAATACCAGAGGGTGACACCCGGGTCTCTGCCCTCCTCACACGCGTATTCCTGTAACATCGTGTTACGGAACAGTGCCATGTCACACTGGGTGAATAGCAAACAGGAGAGACCAGAGTTTAGTGTATTCCTGTAACATCGTGTTACGGAACGGTGCCATGTCACACGGGGTGAATAGCAAACAGGAGAGACCAGAGTTTCTCCACCGCCTAGCCACGCCCTCTTCCAGTTTGGGATGGAAAACACCATTCCTTCCACCTGCCCCCAAGCCCTGTGGGATCCTAATACGCTGTGCATTCATCACTGTTTTCTGCCCTCAATTAAAACTTTATCTTAGGGGATCCTAATATTCTGTGCATTCATCACTATGTTTTCTGCCCTCAATTAAAACTTTATCTTAATGATAGATGGTTTAACTAAAACAATCTATTTTGTGAGCTTCGCTTATTTACTCCTTCATTCTTTTAACGACGACTTAGTGAACCCTGGTGGTGGGAATGGTTGGTTGTGAGGGGGCACATCAGTAATCAAGGCCTACAAGATTATGCTCTTTTCAACCTTCCATCTGACTCCATGAAGACCATGGCTGTGTTTATTGCTCTTTGCTCTTGCTTATGCCATTTCCAGATCCTTAACACGGGCTCCAGAGAAGTCCTTTTCAGGCAGAATTAACTTAACTATATTTTTGCAGAGATTTATTGATTGCAGAAGAAAAGGCTACTAAAAGTTCTTTCCCAACTTTAAAACAATTTTCTATTTCTTGTTTCAGCATCTTTTTCTGTGTCAGAACTTGGCCATGGGCACTGAATTCCCGCCATGGCCGACTGGACCTGAAATAGGATCAGATGCTGTTTCTTGGCCAGCACTGGCTCCCACCCTGGCCCATGGCTTCTTCCCAGACTCAGCAGCAGACTCTTGCCTTAGGGCCTGGATACCGAGCCCAAGGCTGCTATGGAGAGGTGGGAATCCTGTAGGGCTATTTGTTATTAATTTGCATGTCCTGATAGGAACCCAGCTCTGGAGCCCCACAATGTGCTCAGCATTTTCTAGAATACTGACTCCAGTAATAGCCTCTGCTTTGCTGTCAGGAAAGGTTGTGGCCTAATTAAGACTATTCAAAACTAAACTACCAACTACGAGGTTGATGGTAAACACATGACTTTCTTTCTGTTTCTCTATGCAAAAATGCATCATGACTTCAACGACAACCTAATACTTTGTTACAAAAATGGCTGGTTTCCTGAAAAAGCCGAGATTTAAGTCAACTATCTCCTATGACTTTTTAGGCCTTTTATAATTTTATTAGCAATCACAGGTCATCGCTGTCAGTGGTATTAAGTACGTACTAGGTGCCAGAGTGTGTGAGAACTGCTTTATGTATATAACTTCATTCTTGATCCAACCTCACAAGGTAAGTATTCTGCCCCCGGTTTACTGATGAGGAAACTGGTTTTGAGAGGTAAGTAACTTGCCCAAGGTCATGTGGCTAGGGGGTAGGACCCATCTAACAGGCGGAAAACTACAACTCCAAAGTAACTGACCCAAGGACTCTGAAAACTGGGCCTGTTCCTAAAAGTAGGGATCTCTTTTTTCCTCCCTGACCTTGGAGATCATTGATCCTGACTGTGCTATTGTCACAGTTTCAGAAGGAGACATTAATTGGGCTCAGGCTAATTGTTAGAAGGCAATACTGAGTTTATATTTTAATCTAACAATCCAAATTTCAGGGGCTCCCTATATATTTCCCATTCTGATACTAACTATATACAATATTTCAACCAGACAGTAACATCAAAAAAGGTAGAGAGCATTTAAAAAAAAAATCCAAAATAACAAAAAACAAAGACATGGAGGAAAAAAATCACAACCAAACTCCTGCAGAAATTAGGACTCTTTCAAAGGCAGGTTCCAAGTTCCAGGGGCTCATTTTACTTGCCTCCAAAGGCCCTTGATTTTTTCCACCGAATAAATATGGCGATGGCCAGCAGGACAGCCCCCGGGATAACCAGAAGGGTGGTAATGAGAACCACGGGCACTCCCGAGCCCGGGTCTTGGATCAGTTTCTGTTTCTCTTGCATCTTCTGCAATTCTGAGGTGGGTTTGTTCTCCATTTTGGTTTCAACAACTGCCTCGGCTTCTTCAGGGAAAGAAGAGTTTACAAGATTCAACTCACTCAAAGATTCCAAAACCCTCTCACCTCCCCAACCCAGTCAAATCAGCAGCTGTTCACAGAGAACTTACTGAGCCCAGTGTACGTGGGATTCCCGTTTCAGTATCTGAATCTACCAGCAGGCGTGACGACTCCCACTGCGTGGGGTTTTACCTTCGATGGATCTTCTTTGGTTCTACCTTTAACTCCTTCATCAGCTATTGCCCGTAACTTCAAAAAGCTCATGGAAAATGCACTTTATGACCAAGTATGTATGTATTTCAAATTGTTTTGCACCAGAATAACTTGTACTTTAATTCCATATTTACATAAACTTTTTGAAGTCCTCTCATCTACCCTTCTTTTGCATTTTTCTAGAGTTATAACTACCAGGCAGTGTTGTCTATGGGACAGAATGGGAATGCATACTGGAACCAAATAAATATCAACTCAACTCCCAGTTCTCCTACATATGAGCAGTATAACTTTGGGCAAGTTACTTAAACTATCTAGGCCTTAGGAACCTCATCTGTAAAACTGTAACAATAACACCTCCTTCATAAAACTGCTGATGTAAATGCCCGTCATAACGAAGGTCCTTAGTATTTGTTTCCATCGTTAGCCTATGAATATCTTTCATGTTCTGCGAATTTTTTTTTGATATTTCACATTCATAGTTACATTCATTCTAGGATTAGAACAGAAAAAAAAAAATCCTGTCCTTTTCCAGTTCTTCTATATAGTTCTCAGCAAAATGTACATTGTATGCCCTACTGGGGGTGATAAAAATAACTTACAGAACTACTCAGTGAAATTGGTGGGTGCTGGGTAGATATCAGGCCTAAGGCCCAGTTCGAGAAATTGGTGCAATGAAACTCTGAACTGCTGAAGGTTCTTAATAAATAAGGTTACGCCTGGCGGTTTCCTTGTCCCCCATGTGTGCAAAGGCTGATGAGAGTCTGCCCCAGCTAAAAGTTACAATCACATTTGCTGAAAGATGCACAAGGTTTCAGGAAATTCCATTTCTTAGTGTGCTTGTCTGCCATCAGACAGTGGCCTCAGAAAGATTTTGACCAAATGGCAGGGACAGATGGGGTAACAGAATCAGGGAAGTATTTGGTTGATGTTTAATAATGTGTAGACTCGGCATGAGAGCTTGCTGGATACTCCTCAAAAGAAGTGTTTCCCCAATTACTCAAGACACTGCCAGCCCAGTTTACGATAGAAACACGAGACAGGTCCCAGAATATTGCTTCAATGATCTGGGCCAGCCTCCATCACATCCCCTGAGCTCTTGCCACGTCCCTACGGGTGAGGGGAGAACACACTTTCTCTCCTCTCGTCCACTCAATGACTCTTGAAACTCGAAGGGAGGAAAGAAAAGGGATTGGTTCAGAGACCTAGGTGGCCCAAATAGAACCATTCCAAGTCTCAGTTTTCAGGAGGAATAGAAGGGTGATTCTCACTTCCCCCATCACCGTTTTGTCTTTTCTTTGTTACTATAAAAAAAGGTACACAGAATTGCTCTATATTTAAGCTTGTGCTGTATATAAGTAGAAAAATAACAATAAATAGGTAAAAAGAATTAAAAATAAGGGCCAAAAAAGCAGCTTGCTGCCATTAGAAGAATTTGTTTCTGTTGAAGGCAGGTATTACCGGAGTAATTTCCTACTACATTCTGCATTTAGTGGGTTTATCTGCATCTAACCAACGGTTGTACCAGCTTGTATCTAACTTATTTGATAAGGCAGAGTCAGGACTGGGCTCCATGAAATGGAGAGACCAACTGTGGATGGCGTAGGTGACAGACTGAAAGAATCCGTTTCGCACTCGTTATGAGGAGTGTGATGAGGACAAAATGGACTTGTGAACATACACACATGGCACTTTAGAAATTCTTCATTTCCACACCACTTGTGGTACTTTGAGTATCATATCCTAGAAGTACTTGGACATTCTAACTCTTGGGATCACTTGAAGTATATTTAAGATTTAGAATATGTTTTGAAAAAGAAGGCTAAAAATTTCAAATTTCCCAGTCTAAAAACAAACAAACAGAAAGAATATTGCCCCTCTCTCTTTCAGGAGCCTTTATAGAAGGAGTAAAAAGAGCCTACAACAATAGTTAACATGTAAGTGTCTCTGAACTCCCTCAGAGCATAGAGAAATCTAAATTCTGCCCCTAAATTCTTTTATTAAAAGTCTCAGTAGTTGGGAGTATCCCTAATGAATGAGGAGTGAAGCTCACTAAGGTACGTTAGGAAATGGGGCTTCTGGAAGATGCTGGGTGCCTGTGATGCTTTTCTGTTATCTAGGAGCCAGATGTACGCTATGTAGAACACGTCGTAAGTTCTTACAAGAGTACAAGCTCTTGCAGCATTTCCGTAGGTATTTAGAAATGGCTATGGTTTTGAAAGCTAATGTAGAAGTGTCTGTTTCTTCTTTAAAGCAATACATTCAGGGAGGGAGGCTAGCTCCACTGCTTGGTGAGCAGACACATCCAAGTACATGTGCCTCTCTCCCCCTTGGTAGACAAGAAGAGGCCCAACAACCACTTGGAATATCTGGGACAGAAAAGGAAGGACATTCTTTTTTTTTGGAGAGGTTTTTGCTATAGGGGTGCGTGCACTCGCCAGAAAGACAGAGAGACAGAAAGAGAGAAATCACCCCCCGGGGGGGGGAATGGCCACGCCACAGTCCCTTCTCCTCCTTTCTCCTCTCAGGATCTTGGGCATGCACATGCCCGGTGTGAGTTTAAGCCACCGGGTCCAGGACTTTAACTGCAGTCGACTACATGAGAGTCCAGCGACAGAGCCATTATGCCAACTGCTGGTCCCAGGAAGGACATTCTTAATACAACATGTGACAGGGTTCCATGGTTCACCCAAACAGAACCAAAGGCTGAAGGTTTGAGACGGTGTGCTAGCATGTGAGTTTAGATGACATGAAGAGGGTGTTAAACAGCAGTCAATCTGTACTTTTGAAACGTGTTTCCCTTCGGTGTGTTGTACTCCGTAAGGCCTAAGAAGCTAACTGCACTAAAGTATTTTAGTCTGGTTTTGTCTTTTAATTTTCCTTGAGACTGGTTCATCACCATCATCATTAGGGGATGGGGTGTGAAGACTATGCTTTTGGTGGAATATTGACTTACCGATTTCATGTCTAGTAAATTTATTTGAAAATTTAAATCCCTTTCTTAATTTTCTTTAAAAGACACAGTCCCTAATTCGCCAATTCCTGCAACTCCCTTGGAACTCTGGTTCTGAATCCTGTTAGTACTCATAAACTACATGACCATGCAGAGTGGGGATAGGTAACATAAACTTAAAGATCTACAATTAACAAATAGCTACTGCATCTAGGTTGATGTTTCTCCCTCTCTTTTGTAAAGGGTGGTTTGAATTAAGCGTCACGATACTGATAAAAAATAAGATCTAGAGATCCAGCATGATTTATATCCTTTGTAATAAGAATACAATCTTAAACAACCACAAAGGTTTAATGGGAGTCATAGAGATTCAAAGAGGAATAGAACAACTTCATTTAAGTTTGGGTCCTTCTAACTGCTAAAAATAAACTGTCATGGCAAGACATTTCAATAAAAGTTGCAATTTGAACTGCTGCGATTTTGCACAAGGCTGGAAGGTTCCAACAGATGGACTCAGTGGTGTGCACTGAGAAAGGAAATGGCGGGGCGGGGAGCATCATTCACCCTCCATTGGCCAGCCAAGGTGAGGTCAGTGTGGTTGAGCTGTGGCAGAATTTAGAACTGGGGGCAGATATTTAAACAGAATTGGGTTCAGAAGTTTCTGAATAAGCTACAAGCATTCCTAAACTATAGTTCTTTGAAGAATTTACAGTGAATGGGGTCGGCAGGTGGCACGGTGGTTAAGGGCACTGGACTCCCACATGGCCGACCACTGTTCGAATCCCAGGCCTAGCAGCTTGCTTCCTCTCTCTCTCTCTCCCTCTCTCTCTTTCTCTACCCCCCTCCCACTGTCCCTCTCTGGTTAACTTAAAAATAAGTAAATAAAAAAAGTTAAATAAAATAATTCTTTTAAAAAAAGAATTTACAGTGAAGGAGTTAGTGGTATCTCTCTCTCCTTGGCAGTGTAGTGAAAAAAAAGGAGACTTCTAAAATTTCATGGGAAAAAAATGGAATTAAGTTTATTTTGGTGCAAAAAATACGTGAAGTCTATGCATCGTTTCTCATAATAGGCATTTTCCATGAATGTGATTTGGAGATAAAAAGACTCTAACACTAATAATTCTGATCTTCAATTTCTTCACATGTAAAATGGGAATAGCAGCAACTATCACCCGGGTGGTGTAAGGATTAAATTCAGTGACTTGGGGATGGCCTGTTGTTTATATTCTGTAAGTGATACCTATTATAAATAGCAAAATCTTTTCTGACATCTTTTTTCTCTGACTAAAAATGTTTATGACCGATTTCTCTCCACACAGTGACAGAAAAGTCAGGGGTCAGGAACCTTCTTCAGTATGCAGCGACTCCGTAGTGGCACCAGGGTAGGATCTCTACAAATGCAACACAGGCTCTATTTACTTACTCATTTTAGAATATTCTCTTAGCCTTTCCAACCTTGAGCCGGCTATGTTTTCTTACCTGCCTACATAAAATCCCTAAACTCTCCCTGGGTTCACGCACCTGCTTTCACGAGAAAGGAAAACAGGTAAGCCTAGGGTTATGTCTGAATATCTGAGTAAATCATGGGTAAAGCACGTAATAATGGAATCACTTGGTTACACAAACACAAGCAGCTCCTCAAGAGAAACCCATGGTGAGTTCTTCACTATAAATGGTATGTCAAAACCCTGTAGATAGTAGTAAGTGTACAAACAGAAACTGATCCTTGGAAAAGAAGAAAATGTGACAGGATTCCACATGAACCCCGCAGCTAGGTCCCATTTCTGATACTCTGTATCAGTGATAGGCATATCTGTGTATGATGTACGCATGTATCAATATAATCTCTGCATCCCCCATAGGCTCTACATCTGTCAGGAAGAGTTTCAGTCCTTAGGTCCCATCATGCCTCACACGTAGAAGGGACTTGGTACATCTTGGCAACTGGAGCTGAGGGAACAGCTAATTTTGACGTTTAACTTAGCAAACTCTTTTTTTTTTTTTTTTTACTTCTTTATGTGAGAGTTCACTAAGGAAACCTTTTCCAGTAGGTTGAATGGTGCTTTTCTGCCTGCTTGAGGTTAACACTTCTAAAAGTGACTGTCTGGCTTTTTCCTTCTGAGTGTCTCTGACTCACTGACTACAGATTTCTTTCATCGCCCATCACTCTCCATCCCTGGCAGTCAGTGATTTGAGCTCATTGTAATGGTTCCATTTGTCAGAAAAGGCAGTGGCAACACGCAGGTTGGAAGGCCCAGTACCCAGCAGAAGGCACGGACGACTGAGCAGATTACATTGTGTTTTTTAGCCTGATAATGTTTGAAGTTCCACTCCTGAGCCCTAAAAGAACCATCGAAATCCTTTGGTTTCACAATCATAAGAGGAATCTGACCAACCTTTGTTATCCTGGACCTCAATGCCAGCTTTTTTAACTGATCGATGCATCATTTCTGTAACACAGCACAACAGGAAAGAGAATGTCAGAATCCTGAAAAGAATATTTGAAAATGCAACTTTGATACCAATTTTACCCAGTAAAAACCAGAGTTCCCTAATATGCCATATACATTACATTAGAAAAGAGTTCAAAACAAAGCACTAACTCGGTGCCAGGTCCATGAACCCTGGATCGGATCTCCCAGAGAGCCCTGCAATGACATTTCTAAGAACTTCATATTCAGGGGGACCAGCAGCTGGCGTAATGGCTGTGTCGCTGGACTCCCGTGTAGTTGACGCAGTTCGAGTCCCAGACCTGGTGGCTTAAACTCACGCTGGGTGCATTTGCGTGCGTGCCCAAGATCCCAAGAGGAGATTCGGGAGAACATACTGCAGCCTGGCTATCCCCATTCTCACTTTGTCTTTCTGGTGAGCGCACACACCCTATAGCAAAGACCTCTTCAAAGAAAAAAAAGAAAGAACTTCACATTCAGAAGAGCTTTTCCAGTGGTGTTTACACTACTCAATACTTTCCGAAATATCAAACAGTTCTGTTTCCATGGGACCAACATCTTAGACTAATTACTACTTCTTCCACCTTGGATTACCAGTGTCTGGCTGGCACAAATGGATTTGACTAGTTAAATGCTGGAAATGCAGGTAAGTGAAAACTTGTTTAGTTTACCATGCACTGCTACTGTTCAGGAGGTACTCTGCACATTTACTACACTCCAGACTATGTAGAGGGTTTTTCTATTTTGAAGTTAAATGCTCCATTGCAGTGCTTTTCAACTGGGGGGGGGGTGTATCAAAACTGCTTGGAAAGACTTCTGAAAACACTCATATCACCATTCTGGCTATAGCCAGTGAGTGGAGACTGCCGTGTGAACGCGATTGATTCAGGTGTGTATGTCTGTTGAGTAGCAACCACTAGGGTGGTAGAAAGGGCCTTAGATTAGAATCTTTTTTTTTTTTTTAAGTTTATTCATTTCTTCTCTGAGTGAGAGAGAGAAGAAGAGAGTGGAGAAAAAAGCACACTCCCAAGAGGTTCCTGACACCACAATTTACCTCCAGCTTCAGCCAGCCCCAGGACGTGGGCATATGTGTGCTGGTACTCAGGGGGTCTCTGGACGAGAGCCAGGAACCTTGCCATGTGGGCCAGGTCACGGAGCATCACACTGAAACCTGCACTGCCATACAGCACTCGGACCGAATCTTTTTTTCAATCTGTATATCTATTTGTTTTTAATTGTCAGAAGGTACATGCGCTTGGGAGAGAAAGAGAGAACGCACTCCCTAATAGGGTGTGGTCACATCGGAATTCTTCCTCTTCTCCCTCCTGCCAGGATTCTGGCACACCCACATGCCCAGTGTGTTTTTCAAGACACCAGAGCTGGGATCTGAACTGCCATCAGCTATGAGTGATCAGATTCTCAATGCACGGTTCTTAACTGCTGTGCTGTGGGGCTGACCCTAGACCATCATCTTAATGAGTTCAAGAATCAGATGTTTGCAACATGAAGATAATGGCTACAATTCTAAGACTTTTCCATCTTTAAATGTACTTGTGCATGGGAACCAGCAGTTAGCGTAATGGCTATGTCGTTGGACTCCCCTGTAGTCGACCGCAGTTCGTGTCCCGGCCCTGGTGGCTTAAAACTCACGCTGGGTGTGTGTACGTGCGTGCCCAAGATCCTGAGAGGGGAATGGAGGAGAAGGGATTGCGGCATGACCATTCACCCTGGGGGGTGATTTCTCGCTTTCTGTCTCTATGTCTGTCTCTGTCTGTCTGGCAAGCGCACGCGCCCTATACGAAAATCTCTCTCAAAAAAAAATTTACTTGTGCATTCGCTGTTGTCATTCTGGAAATCCTGAGTTTAGTCATGCAAACATGTGCTTTTGCATTCTGGTCTGCCTGCATCTTCTGGATCATCTGAGGATGCAGGTGGTGAAAGAGCTGCCCTGACAAGGGCAATGTGGAGCTACTACTGGGTGGAAGAGTCCACGGGCACCCATGTGCACTCATTTCTAACTGAATCTTTATTACACAACAGTGGAAGTCACTCAGGGTAATTCCGAAGACAGAAGTTACCACATTAACTGACTCCAGGACCTGTGCCATTCTGATTAATGTTTTGGGGTTCCTGATTTTACTTTTCTATAATTTGTATTCTTCCTTGTTCTAATCATGACTTCTTTTCTTCAAGTGTACACCGACCTGTTGTATCTCCTGACCTCAAATGTATCCTTCTCGATGCCTTTCCTACTGTCCCGCCTTCTAGTTTTTGAACCACACCATATTTTTTTTTCTTTTTTTTTTGGAGAGGTTTTTGCTATAGGGTGCGTGCACTCACCAGACAGACAGAGAGAGACAGAGAGACGGAAAGCAAGAAATCACCCCTCGGGGGGATGGCCACGCCGCAATCCCTTCTCCATTCTCCTCTCGGGATCTTGGGCACGCACACACACGCACCTGGCGTGAGTTTAAGACACCGGGTCCAGGCCTCAAACTGCAGTTGACTACATGGGAGTCCAGTGACATAGCCATTATGCTAACTGCTGGTCCCTGACCACACCATATTTTAAGAGAATTTTTGGACATTGAGACTTGTAACCATTTAGTACGTCTTGATTTTAAAAAATTTACATTCTGTGGCATGCTATCAAGAGCTAGGTCAGTATACTTTTAAAGATTTAGAAAGACTGCCCAGATTGCAATGAGAAAATTCCAAAAACTAGCTGGCATCATCTTGATATAGCAAATATGTCCCCTGACAAAATCTGGCGTTGTCTGGAAATATAGCATTTCAGTATTCTGGACAGTCTGAAGCCTCAATAGAAAATGCAAAGTGCTTCGTCTTTGGAATACCGTGGCAGACAAGTCAATGGTGCCCCGGGTGCCCCAGGTGCGCGGCAGTTAGAGAGCCGACGATCTTTGTGGGAAGGGTTCTCTGTGGCAGCAAGTCAGTGCCTGTGCTCTGACAACGCCCTCTCCTTCTGGAGAGATGCCCTGTTAACACTGGCTTTTAATATAACAGACATTGCTTCAAACATCAAGAATTTCCTGTGGAATATCTGGAGAAACAAGGGACTAGCTGCCAGGGGTGGAAAAAAAAAAAAAAAGAGTATTTCTCTCCACTTTTAAAAATTACTTAATCCCTGACATGGATATCAAACAGATTTTTTAACAATTACCTCATCTTGGTTTACTACTCCCATCAACAAAAAGAGGGAGAGGGCCAGCAGATGGTGTAGGGGTTATGTCACTGGACTCCAACATGGTTGACCACAGTTCAAGTTTCAGACCTGGTGGCTTGAAACTCACACTGGGTGCATGCACATGTGTGCCCAAGATCCCAGGAGAACGGAGGACAAGGGATTTTGGCATGGCCATCCCCTCTGTGGGAGTGATTTCTCGCTTTCCCTCTCAATTGTCTCTGTCTCTCTCTCTCCAGTGAGCACATGTGCCCTAAAGCAAAAAAAAAAAAAAAAACACTTCTAAAAAAACACATAGAGAAATGCAAATGTTTTTGTTTCAAATATTTTAAGCAAAAAAAAAAAAAAATTGAAGAAAAAAATGTGGATAATACTACTATAAAACCATACTCTCAGGGCTCCACACTGTAGCTTGCACGGCTAGGATGCTGTGCTCTGTATGCCTGGACGATGCGGGAAGCCTGGCCTAAATTTCTGGTCCAACCTAAGACATGGGTGTAGCAGCGTGCACCTGTAATCCCAGGGACTCGGGAGACTGAGGCTGGAGGATCACAAGTGCAGGGCCGGCCTGGGCAAAAGAGGACAACCCTGTTTGGACAGGTGAGGTGGGGCCTGCCTGTAATCGCTGCTGAGAGACTCAGGCAGGCGGAATGTGTCTTGGTAAGACCCTGTCTTAAGAACAGACAGACAACCCATACTTTCAGTCGAAGAGAACTTCCACACGGTGTAGGCATGAATATCTCCTACGAACACGCTTCCATCTTCAGATGCAACGAGATCATGAGGCATGTCAAAGTCCTGCCAAAACAAGAAGTGACACTTGAGGGTGGTGAGCTGTTACTTGAAAATGCAGAAAAACAAAGCAAAGCACACAACCAAATAATACATATGTCTCTTAACTCAAAGGAACGATAATTCTCATCAAGCTACTCTAAGCCAAGGGGAGTCATTCATTCATGCATCTGGTACTGCTGCCAGGCACAGTTCCATCCACTGGGAAATGCCTACTTGCAAGACTTTCCAAAGAGAAACTTTATAAGTTGATTTAAAAAAAATGTTAACATATTTTTATTTATAAATCAACAGAAGTTTCTTCTGAGTTTCAGATTCTGAAATATCTATTTCAAATTGGTGTTTCTGATCCCATGAATTCTGCATTGTCATCAATTGCAATTCTTACAGAATGGGTAAGTCTTTTAAGTCTTTTGCAATAACTTAACCTATTTTACTAAAGATAAGAGTGGCTGCAAAATATGTTTGAGTGTATCCTATGTAAACTCTACATACTTTTTTTTCCCCATGAACTTTTTAAAAATTAATTAATTTATTTTACATTCATTCCCTGAACATCATCACAGCATACAAAATGTGATTTTCCATCCAGAATATGCTGCATAGTGGCTGAATCATGCATGTTATTGTCGATAATTTTCCATTTCTTGTTTTATATATCTATCTATCTATAAAAATATATATAAGTAAATATCTATATCTAAATATACAGATATAGATATATATTTCTCCCTATTTCTCACCCTCTGCCATTTTCCACACTCCTCCCACACTGTCTCTGGTGTCTACAGTTGCTTTCCATTCCTTCCCCCACACACGTTTTATTGATTCACAGAATATCTTAATTAATCTAACTACTTTCAATAGCAAGTTCAACTGAGACCAGCAGTTAGCATAATGGGTATGTCGCTGGACTCCCATGTATTCGACCACGATTCGTCTCCTGGACCTGGTGACTTAAAACTCACGCCAGGCACGTGTGCGTGTGTGCCCAAGATCCCGAGAGGAGAATGGAGAAGATACTGCGGCATGACCATCCCCCCTGGGGGGTGATTTCTCGCTTTCTATCTCTCTGTCTCTCTCTCTCTGTCTGTCTGGTGAGCGCATGTGCCCTATAGCAAAAACCTCTCCAAAAAAAAAAGCAAGTTCAACTGATACATATCTGTGAACACATGTCTGACTTTAGGCATGAAACTGAGTAGAATGAATATACTATAAAGTAGCACTTAGCTGATGCTATATTGCTTACTGTGGTCATTAAATAGGTATTTTTTAATACATTTTTTAATTTCAAGAAAAGCAGTTTTAGCTTTAATAAATCAAAATTAAAAAAAATGCCAAGAGAACTTTGCCTAAAACTTAAAGCCAGGAAACAGATTAGGATTCTGCTCAAATAGTAGGTACATGAACCTATCAGTAGCTCAAGACAAGATAAAAATCCTCAAATCTGGAAAACAAAGCATAGAAGAAAATCAGTGATATTTTAATAAAAAATCATAATATTCTATTTAACCAGCTCAGTCTCATGTACTTAATCTATTTTCTGTTGTGGTCTGATTTTCCCGTTTAAATTCTGGACTATAACATGCAACTCCAAACTTGTCCCTACCATTTAAGTTGGCCATTTTCTTAGTTGTTTTTGAACTCTTATTTCTGTTTGTCTGTATTTAGTTTTCCTGGTACAGCACTCCCTTTAGAACTTCTTGGTCTGGTGTTGGTAAATTCTTTCAGGTTTTGTTTATCTGAGAATGTTCTTGTCTTTTCTTCCCATATGAAGGATAATCTTGCCAGGTACAATATTCTTGGTTGAAACTGCTTTTCCCTTAACACTCTGAATGAATATAAATGAATATATTTTCCCATTCTTTCCTTGCTCACATTGTTTCCCATGAGAGGTCCACTGTTAGTCTGATGGGATATCCTTTGTAGGTAACTTGACATTTCTCTCTTGCCAATCTTAGTATCTTGTCTTTGTGGTTTTGGTCAATCTCATTATAATGTGTCTTGGAGAAGATCTTCTTGGATTGATTCTATTTGGGGTCCTTTGTATTTCTAGGGACTGGATCTTTGAATGCCTCTCTAGGTTTGGGAAGTTTTCTTCCAGGATTTCATGGAATAGATTATCGATGGCCTTATGAGTCTCTTGGCCTTCTGGGATACTAATTATCCAGATGTTTGGATGTTTGATGGTATCTTGTATTTCTCATATATTCTTCTCATTTTTTTGGCCTATTTTCTCAGTCTTTGTGATAGATTTTTCTAGGCCAGTGATTCTAATTTCTACATCTGAGATTTGATCTTTTGTATGATCTAGTCTTCTTTTTTTTTTTTTTTTGGAGGGGTTTTTGCCACCCCAGGGGGGGATGGCCACGCCGCAATCCCTTCTCCTCCATTCTCCTCTTGGGATCTTGGGCATGCACGCACACGCACCCGGTGTGAGTTTTAAGCCACCAGGTCCAGGATGCGAATCGTGGATGACTACATGGGAGTCCAGCGACATAGCCATTATGCTAACTGCTGGTCCCTGATCTAGTCTTCTTTTAATACTTTCAAGGGAGGATTTGATTTCCTGTACTACAGCCTTCATCTCTAAAAGGTCCATTTGATTCTTTTTTATGGTGTGTATTTACTCTTTCAGATCATACAAAAACTTTCTCACCTCCTGGAAATCAACTGCTCTTTTCTCTTGTGTCTTCTGGAGTTCATTGTCTCTCTTCTCTTGCGTCTCTGTTAGCTTTGTCACTATGAATATTCTAAATTCTTTATTTGATATTTCCATTGTACTGTCTGTGGATGAAGAGGAGTTATTCTTTTCCCTTGGAGAAGAGGTATTTTCTTGTTTCCTCACATTTCTGACCCTGCAGTGATTTCTGGTCATCTGATGGGTTGTGTGTTTCTTCCTAATTCTTGAAGTTCAATCTGAGTATTTAGAGGCATGCAGGAGGAGGTGATCTGCAATCTCTCTTCTGTTCCATTTTTAACTCTTTGTGCATCAGAGAGGTTACCCTACCCCACTAGAAATGAATCTGGAGGGTGAAGGCTCAGCAGAAGATCTTCGTGTTTAGTCCCCGAAAGCAATATTTCACAGCTCAAGTTCAGTACCATCTCCACAAGTGGATTACTTTTTACAGTATCGTTTACTTAGTGTTACATTATGTACTTATTTTTATTTATGTTTTGCTTTCATGTTTCTTTCACCTTTTTTGTTGTTCTTTTGTTTTTGTTATAGAGGGTGTGTACTTGTACTGGAGAAACAAAGAGACACAGAGAAAGTAAGAAATCCCCCTCGTGGAAGTGGCTACATGGCAATCTCTTTTTCTCTTCTCCTCTCAGGATGTGGGGCTTGCACACACACACGCCTGGTGTGATTTCCAAGCTGCTAGGTTCAAGACTTGCACCATGCACTCAGCCACAGGGGATCCAGTTGCCTTAACCTCTGTTCCACCTGGCTGGCCTGTTTCTTTCACTTTTTAATATCTATTTAATTGGCCAGTTTTAATCTGTAGTCAAGAGGACCAGGTACTCATTTTTGTTATTATTCCCCTAATTTACCATGGGCTACTTTCAAAAACATTTGTACATTACTGATAAGGAGATTCACTTCAAAGATTAAGCATTTACATTATTCCTCACATGCACACTAGAAGATACACAGCATAGTGGAGTTTTATACTCTGAACTCCAGGGTTCCATTTTAATCAGCAAAGAAACAAACTGAGGGTTACTTCCGAGCATCCCTGGGCTTCTGTAGCTATGCTGAATACTCTGTGTTTTAATATGTCTTTCTCCATGACCTATTTCCATTTCAAATCACCTTCATTTCAGACTGAGGACAGGGAGCACCTGATGTGATTCTCTTGGGGTCACTGACCTAACTCCTGGAAGAGGAGCCTTGAACCGCCGAGCTGCTCGCATTTCTACCTGCCCACAGAAGCATCCAAAGATGCCTGGTGTCCTCCAGTGCGGGAAGGACATGGCTAACTCCCTTCACCTTCAAGCCAGCAGGTCTGCCTGAACACGCATTTCTCAAAAATATGACCAAGGATGGGGCCAGCAGGTGGCGTGGTGGTTAAGGGGCTGGAGTCCCACATGGCTGACTGCAGTTCAAGTCCCAGAACTAGTGGCTTGAAACTCACACCAGGCACACATGCGTGCATGCCACAAATCCTGAGAGAATGGAGAAGGGATTGTGGTGTGGCCATCTCCCCTGGGGGAGGGGTGATTTTTTAGTTTCTCTCTCTCTTTCTCTGGGTCTCTGGAAAGGTGCACACACCCTGTAGCAAAAATTTCTCTGAAAAAGAATATTAAAAAAGTTTTGTAAATCTGAGCAGGGAGTCTGAACAGAGCACTATCCAGACTGAGGCTGGTCAGTCAACACCCTCCCGCCCTGGCGTGCTGAGCACAACGGGCACTAATCGAGCAAACTGTTCTTAGCTCCTGCTAGGACGGCAGGACGCGTGTTCTGAAGATACTCCTGTGCTTTAGAAATCATCAACTGTTTGTCACACTGGAGGGAAAGATGAGGCAGTGGTGCCAACAAGACTCATTCCGTCATACCAGCCAATGAGGTATTACAAATGGCAGAGGAAGACAGCAAACCAGACATCAAAACGTTGCCTTGTTAAGATCTCATAGGCCTGTCACTAAACTTGGGCTCAGCTAATAGATGGCAACAGGCTTGCAAAGTATAGGCAATTCTTGTTTGATACCATAACACGTTCTTAGGAACTTCTTTGTAAAACATACAGTAATAAAGTAGTTCATACATAAATATTTTTTGAGAGGTTTTTGCTATAGGGCACATGTGCTTGCCAGAAAGACAGAGAGAGACAGAAAGACAGAAAGCGAGAAATCACCCCCTGGGGGGATGGCCATACGGCAATTTCTTCTCCTCCATTCTTCTCTTGGGATCTTGGGCATGCACACACACACGTGCCCGGTGTGAGTTTAAGCCACTGGGTCTGGGTTTGAGCCACGTTCGACTACATGGGAGTCCAGTGACATAG